GTACTTATTTCCCACATGGGCTTGTTAATACTTTGAATTACCATATTACATTTTTAAATCAATCTGATAGTGGAACTATGGCACTTGTGGCTAGAAAGATGTTTCTAATTCTTTGCAAGCTTAATCATCCTTTCATACATTTCATGACTGTTAGCATTTTTCTTTCATTGTTTGCTTGTGTTCTTCATCCATTTTTTCCCAGTTGGATAGTTTTACCCTCTGTTGGATTGCTTTATATGCATTCCTTATATATTCTGGATGGTGCTCCTTTGTTATAGGAGCATGTAAACATTTTCCTTCAGGGAGGAAGAGCCTGTCCAGAATAGCTATGTAGTAGTTGAATAGCAGAATCCACCAGATCACTTGTCAGGGGGTGGGAGAAAGATGAAGTTGATGTCTCCATCACCTATTTTGTACTTCTATCTTTCATATTTAGACATCAGCTAAGAGCTTATCTTACTGCACTTCAGTTCCTTCTTGGCTGGCCTCCTCCATTAAGGGAAAGCAGTCTATGAGTCTTAGTGGATACCCAAAATTGATGTGCACAGAACATGCTGTCACATGACCTGAAGTGGATAACAAAGGGGCCAGAGGTGGGGCAGAAGGGCCTAGTCACCAGGTTCCTGCAGAATGTTCCTGCAGCACTGAAGTGCTGCTAGGAGTTGCTCCACATCCTTTGGGAAAGTGACAGAGGATTCAGACACTCCTTTGCTCATAATTTCTAGACCTATACTCTCAGAGGAAAGCTGCTGTGGGTGACATTTGAACACTCAGCAAGAGTACTGGTAGCCAATACTTAGACAATGCCATTAGTGCTCTTCATATGAATTAAATTCTCATAATAGCCCCATGTTATAGGTAATGTCACTGTTTTTGAAGATGAAGGAACTTGAGTCACAGGCAGGTAGTTAATTTGCTCAAGGTCCCACAGCTGATAAAGGGCAGAATTGGGTCTGACTCCCTGGCCTACTATGCTCAAGATCAGTATATGAAATCTTAGTCCGGGCATGGGAAGGCATCAAACAAACCTTTCTTTTTCTTTTCTTTTCCTTTCTTTCTTTTTTTTTTCTTTTTCTTTTTCTTTTTTTTTTTTTTTGCAACTCTCGGCAGAATGTTTTTCCTGTCAATCACATTTTAGGACTATGGCTTCATAGCATCCAATCCTGGGCCCCTGTAGCTTTTGTTTCTGATTGAATATCTATTTTTGTTGCAACACAGCGGTCTCCATTCCCTTAATTACCTGTCACCCTGCTTCCCATAAAGCCAGCCCAAGGCTGAGGCCTTCCACCACCAGGGCCCATTTTTTTCCTTTAAGCCCCCAAATTCTCTTGGCACCTCTGGCCCAATGGTTTTGCGAAGTGCTGCCATCTGGTGGGGACAGGTGGCCACTGTCAGTCCTCTCTGAGGAGTAGATTACTGAATGCAAGGGATTGGTGGTTGAATTCCAGGACTCACTTTTCCTAATTGTGATATCAAAGACATTTTGAAGAAGGCTTAGCATTGGTGGCATAGCAGTGTGCCTGGACATGTGGATAAGAAATTCTATGAAAGGTCAGTCATAGTGGTACATATCTTTAATCCCAGTGCTTGGGAGACAGAGGCAGGTGGATCTTTATGGGTTCAAGACTAGCCTTGTCTACATGAAGAGTTTTAGGTTAGACTCTGTCTCAGAAAAAATACACCCCCAGAGACTGCACTCAAGTTGAATTAAGGGGAGCAGCAGCCTCCCCAGTATATGACAGGGTGACATTCAGTTTATACAGGGCAGAGCCACAAGGATCTCCCTGTGTATGTTGTCACCTCTGGTGGCTGTAATGGAGGAGACACTAGATTCAGATTCTCAGAATAAGTTTAAAGCATCTCTTTGCATTAGTCTCTGCTTGCATCCACTATCTGAGGAATTCTTTGGTTCTGATAAGCAACGAGGGGACTGATAGTGAATGCCTAGGCCAAGTGAGGAGACACTTGGGGTTAGATGAGAGACATAAATGGAGCATCACAAACTTCCTCAATTGAGCAGCTCTCCAAGCTCACCTCTATTGAGACTATGAAACCTACATGGAAGCCACAGGTCTGGAGCAAACTGGGCAAGTGTGCCAGGCAACTGGTCATTCCACAAAATGTCAGGAACTTGGTGAGTTCCTTTTGGGTTGAATACAATTGAATTGGGAATCAAAGATAGGAATCGCTACCCAGGAAGCAATTATAAAGGGAGCTTGCAAAGGCTAGGCCCTCTGACCTTGTGGTTCCGCAGAGAGTGGTGAGTAAAGATTATACAACACCTCTCCCATTTCCCTCATTTCTAACCAAGGCTTTGGGATCTTGAGTTGGAGCCTGAGGGTTCTTGGGGTAACCAGGCTTGCAGAAAATGAGCCCTCCTTCTGGAAAATCATACCAGCCCATGATGATCACTGAGCTACTGATGGTGGAGACAGACATTATAAGTAGAAAGCCTATAGGGTGGAACTTAGGTAGTTAAGGGACCTACTCCTTCCTTGCTGCCCACAGCCATAGATCTTATAGCTTCCAGTAGGGGAGAAGAACTTACAGTGATCAGTAGAAAAATGAAGGTTTGCTAAACAGCAAGGTGGTGTTCTTAGACCTGGGAAAAGAGGAACCACATCCTGGGAGGATGTCCTCATGAGCCTCGGCACCCACTGTGTGTCCTGTCCTAAGCCCTGTGGCATGTTCTCTCATTCAATACTCAGAAGCAAGAACATATTGTTGTATTTGGTACATGAGGGAACCAGCCCTGTTCGTGTTTTGAACCTTGATCAAGCTCATGTAACTAATACATAGTGGAGCAAGGATTAAAACCAGGATCTCAGTGGCTACTGGCAACTGGTGGCTTTTTAAAGACCAGAGACCATTCTGCATTCTATCCCATGTTTTTGTTGTTGTTTGTTTAATCAATTGATTATTTTTTGTTTTTCACACTCTGTAGTCACACTGTCTTAGAGGATCACCTGCTACAAAATCTTAAGTCCTACATCCCACATTGTTTATTTCCCGAAATGCCTGCCCCTCTATGTCTTTGTCCTGGAGCTTTACCAATAAGAACATGCAAAACTGGTCTCTTCTCCTCCAGGTGTAATCTGGAGGAATTTAGGAAGATCTTGTGAGAGCTGAACTCCCTCTGTTGCACCCAGGATTAAACTTTAGCTACCAGCTGTGCTCAAGGCCATGCATGGTTTGGAAGTCCAGGCAACCAGCCCATAGGCAGCCTAGACCCCTCTTCTGTGAAGGGAGAATGAGTGATGGTTTTCTTCCTTGTCTGTGTAGCCAGCAGACAGTAATTTTTAGAAACACACATTGGTCTCTGTCTCCGGTCTCCTTTCCCTATTCTAGCCCTAGCCCATTTTCCAGCTGGGGGAGGAGAGAACTCCTCTCAGATCCTTGGAGGTTTCCCACTTTCTCAGCATCTTTGGGGACCTTTTGTCTGTAGTATTAAAGGGTCGTGTCATGTCTGGTCTTTGGCTTCCTCCTTTCTAGGGCAAGGTCTTTGAACTCAGAAGCCTGACAAATGAGTTGTATGGTGTACTGACATGGCTCATTGGAGTGCTGGCCCACAGGGTGGCCTCGTCTTCAAGCTTCTTTCCCTGCCAGAAAACAACTTGGAGAGAAGGTAAAGAAATCTGTTTTAGAAAGACCTTATTTAAAGAGTTCAGAGACGTGAATGTTTTAAGATGGCATGATTTGAAGGAGCATTTGCCCCACTAAGAAACTCAGTGGACCCTCTGCTGTTAGTTCCAGTTCCCTCCATCAAGGCTCTTTTGCCCTCCCCATAGCCATGAGGACTGCATGTATGGGAACTATACAGGTCTTGGAGAATTGCATCGTCCTGCCCCATCATTACATACAAGGTTTCCCTGTGCGGTTTCCTTCTGAGTGGGGTATGGTGGGCTCCATATACAGTAAAGGTTTGCAGGACGTGACCACATCGTGAGATCTGCATAGACTTGAACAATTTTGGGAGCAAGGACGGCTTAGAGACATTTTCACAGTTCACTATTGCCTCTCCTAGAGATTTTTAGAGGCCTTTGGTGACACCCTGGAGACCAGCAGAGGGCAGGGGGCAGGGTGGAGGCGCAAGTGAATCAGAAGGAGTGGACATTATAAGGCCTGGCCGCTTCTATGGTCTGCATCTCGATTACCAAAAGGGGCAGAAAGGTGGGAAAGCAGCAGAATCCCCTCAGCTGAGGTAGGTGAGGGGACACGAGCTTCGTGATTCCCGAAAGCTTGGGATCCTTCCCATGCAAGATAGCTAGAATTCCCCTAGGGGCGGAATCTGCTGGCCTGGGCTGGGACTGGTGGTTTGTAGCCAGCAGGAGCCTGGTCCCGGTGGTCCCAGAGCCGGCGAAGCTAGGGCGGTCCGGTAGGAGAGCTTGTGGCCAGCAGGTGGGGCGCAGGGCCGGGCTCCGCCCCCTGGCCCCTACTCGTTGGTCCGCAGCCGCCCAGCCCCGGCCCCTCTCTGGAGCCGGAGCGCGATTGGTGGCGGCGCTTGTCGCTCGGAGGGGGCCGGGCCGTGCTGCTTCGCTCCTTGGGTCGCTGCCACAGCCTCGGTTCTCCTGAGCAGCGAGCGACACGGGCTGGTGGCATCTCCCAGGCAGCGGGCGCTGGAGATGGGAAGCAGCGCGGCAGCGGGCCCCGGCAGTGACAAAGTTTCCCAGAACTGCGGGTCGCATCGCGGCACTGCTGGCCACCCGTGACCGCCTAGGGAAAGGCTCGGGGATTTTGAATTTGGGGGACAAAAACCCACCAACAACAAACAAACCCACCTCGTTTCCTTTGTGGAGCTCTTTCTCAGGGTGGCCAGCGGCAGGAGCTGCAAACTTGGGCACCGCGGCTCGCTGCCAGGGGACTCGCCTTTGGAGAGCCTCAAGACTTAGGTACTGGAGTACCAGAGGTCCTAGGCGTGCCAAGGGGTGTGAGTGCGGGGGAGTTTGGGGTGTGCAGCAAGGAGGGGCCCCAGGAGCTCTATATGGAGGAGGGACCCCAGAATGGTGTGTACCAGGAAGACCAAAACTTTGGTGTCCACTTGCGTGATCCTGAGTGGTATGACCAACATCATCTGCCTGCTGTACGTGGGCTGGGTTACCAACTACATTGCCAGCGTGTATGTGCGGGGGCAGGAGCCAGCGCCCGACAAGAAGCTTGAGGAAGATAAAGGGGACACCCTGAAAATTATCGAGCGGCTGGACCACTTGGAGAATGTCATCAAACAGCACATCCAAGGTACCGGCGCCCTGGGAAACTTGAGCCACGAGCACAGCCAGGGAGTGCCCAGTGATCTGCTTGTGGGATGGGATGCGTTGAGGCCAATGCGTATCAGGCCAGTGACTGCAGGGAGGGATTTGGGGTGGCAGCTGTGTGGTTGGAGGGACTGCAAGGACTAGTGTCCTGGATCTTCTGTGTCTGACACCCTGCTAGTTTTCCTTGGGTACACGTGTGTACGCCTATGTGTGTGTGTGTGTGTGTGTGTGTGTGTGTGTGTGTGTGTGTATGCAGCTTGTTGTTGGTATGGAGACGTGCTATGCACGTGTCCAAATGTGCATGACTCCAGGCTGCTTCTTCCTGGGATCGCAGGATCACACACTAGTCCAGGAGTGCGTTTGGCTGTGGATGTTTATGTATCTGAGAGAGTACAAGGGCAAAAGAACTTATTTGGCCGTAGTAAGGGGCAGGAGAGATGTCACGTGTGATCCTAACTGTGGGGTTTAAGAAGCAGCAAGCTTAAGAACAAACCCAGACTTGAAAGACGGCATTGCCCCAGTATCAGCCCCAGCCTCAGCTTCAGCCGGAGTAGTGCTGGGACTGCAGGCGGCATCTTAAGTGGAAAAAACATCCTCCACTGTAGCACACCTGAAGATCCAGGACCTGCCCCTATGATCAGGTGTCACACCCAGGAAGAAGCTAAGTCCACTTCGTTGGTGCTTCTGTTCAGGAATGAGAAAACCCACTGAGGCTGTGGCTTTCCTTCAGAACCTTCCTATCTCAGTGAGGGCCAATTTGTAAGGCAGCTAGCTACACTCCCTGGCCCAGGAATCAGCCTTGGTAGAGTAGACAAACCCACAGAAGGTGGGTCTGAAATCCAAGAAAGCAGTGGGTGGGTGTCTCTAGACTAGGTTCAAAGGGAGAGTGAGACATAAAGGGCTCTCCTGATGGGACCCAGGCAGTATGAGTGCCACAGTGACGGAGCTCAGGACACCTGGAGTAAGGCATGTTCACTCAGGCTAGCAATCTGGATTCCCCTTGTCCTCTTCAGGTGTCCCCTGCTTTCCTAGGTAAGAGAACTTCTTAACTGCAGGCCCCAGCTAGTTTACCTGTAAACCTGACAGGCTGCCAGATATGGGGTAGCCCCTGGCAGTATCTGAGCTGCTCTGAGCTCTGTTACCAAGGTAAGGACTACTTTCCGATCTGGTGTACCTCCCACGTGGCCAGATTGGCTCCTTCCCTGGGAAGGCTTCACCAGGTTCAGGTGGGGGCAGAAAGGCGACCTTCTTGGTTGTGTTTCCTAACTGACAAAAGCAAGGACTTGACTTTGAGGCCCCCTAGAAAAGGGACCTTTGACAGCTCTTTAAACCCGCCTTAGCCTCATCCAAGCATTGAACCCAACAGATCAAACTGTGCCCGTAGTGCCTGTTGCTGCCATTTGCCTTGATCCAGGAGACAGACTCAAGGCTGTGCCTTGCTCTGACATTTCCAGGTTGTATACATCTTCTGAGAGATTTTCATTCACACATTCTCTATGTGTGTGTGTATTCAAAATGACTCTCCTGTTCTTTTCTATGTAGTTATGGAAGAAGCCAACAAGGGACTGCTTCAGGGATAATTTCAAGGATTTCATGAGCCCATGAGCAGCCCCTATCATGTTGAATGTGGACGATGTCACATGATTCACAAGACTCCACATGAAAACCACTGTGGAAGATGAAAAAAAAAAAAACAATTTTTTTTTACCAGGAAATCTTAGAACTCCTCAATGTTTATCTCATAAATTGGGAGGAGAAGGGTTAATAAAAAAGAACCCTCCTTAGACTGTGTTAGTCCAGGTGTCCTTTGGGCAGTAGGAAATGACAATAAGGCCAAAGCCACTGCCCACAGTGGGTGAGGGAGTGAGTTGTGAAAAGCTAGACATGAAACAGACAGATGGCAGAGGCTTAGCTGGTTGCTTGTGCTGTGGTCGTGTGGCAATGATGACGACTCTTCCAGGGTTCAAAGCAGTCTCTGTACTTGGATTTGGGATTCAAAGATTTATCTGTAAAGTGTGTGAGATCATTCCTGTCCTTAAGGATGTGGGCTGTTTCCATAGATCCACTGTCTATGTTTTGTGTCAAGAGAGCCCTTTTAATAATCCTTGGTACATCACAGAGCTGAGGATGGGGACAGAGTTGGGAAGAGGCTGATAATAAGAATAGTCCAGAATTCTGTAGTGTCTGTTATGTGCTATACCCTGTTCTCAGAGCTTTGTGGAAGTTGATTTACCCTTAGAGGTCAGTGGTATTAGCTCCATCTTACAAATGTGGAAACTGAGGTCTGCAGAGGTTGTTTGACCCACTGGTCCAGAGTCACACTCCATTACATAATAGCTCAGACATTTGAACTCAGATAGTGGCTCCAGCGTCTCTGTTTTGCTTTGCTGTGAGAAGAGGTCTTAACGCAGTAGTATAAGGTTGGTTAAGACCCTTCCATCTCAGCAAGCATCGCAGATGGGTGCCACCACATCCAGGTTATTTTTAGTGTTTATTTTGGCAGCTGGTTCTATAGTCTAGGAAGATATCAGTCTGTGTTCTTAACTGTATAATATTCTGTTTGCCAAGAGGGCCAGAGGCACACAGGGGAAGAGTGCTGTCCTGGTATTGTTTGACAGTGGTGGGAATGGATGTGTCCTAGTGAAAGGCCATCTGAGTTCCTTGGAGGCTTCGTGGGGCCAATAGTGTTCCCACATGGAACTGCTTTCCATTGATATACTAAGGCAGATCTGGGTTTTGGTTGGTTTCCTGAAGAAGGCAGAGGTCACATTCCCTTAACAAATGTTTGGCAACTCTCTGGGCAGTTCTAGCAGGTGGAAGAGAGACAGTCTGGATGACTGAGTGACTGCCCTGCACTGATGTCCAACATCCTAGTTAGTCATGAGTGTGGGCACTGCCAGTTTCCGAAGGACAAGCTTTGCTTCGGAACGTTGCCCAGGCGCCTCTTCTCTTTGGAAGGAAAGCTGTCCAGGAAGTTGCAAATGTCACTGAGTGTTCGGCAGGATGTTCTGAGAACTTGCAATTAGAAGAGGCTTTGGAGCGGCACCCTAGAGGTCTGTTCTAGACATGACTGAAAAGTTGATTTTCCTCTTGGGGACCACAGTGATATTTCATTTTAATTTGTTTTCTGATTGAATGATTTAATTAGATGGTGTGTGTGAATCTCTTGGGAATATAAATTGTATTTTTGAACATTTATTTTTTTTTAACCAAGAGACGTTAAACAGCAAGATAGTTAACTTCAGAGTTTAAAATAAGTATCCTGTTGGGGTGAAAACACCAAGTAGTCCCTAGTACAGGCTCCATCTCAGGACCTTCCACCTTTTTGAGATGGTCAGATGGGCAGATGTTAGAGGAAGCCCAGGTGTGAGAGAACTTGGAAAGAGAAATTGCTCTTCCTGTTCCTCACCCCTTTCTCTTTTTCTTTTTTGAGAGAGTATCTCATATAGTCCAGGCTAGCCCCAAATGCACTATGTAGCTGGCCTGAAACTTGCTGAATAACAAAGAGAACCTTGAATTCTCTTGCCTCCACCTCCCCAGTGCTGGGATTGCAGATATGTGCCACCATACCTAGCATATGTGGTGCTGAGCATCAAGCTGAGGGTTTGCCCATGCTAGGCATGTACCCTACCAACTGAGCCATCCTAGTCCCAGTTCCTGTTTGAGTTTGTATGTCAGGCACAAACGAACATGGCTTTTTTTTTTTTTCTTTTTGGTTAGTATCATTTTGAATCTGTTAAGAATGTGCCAATGTTTAAGGGACAATTTAAGAATGTATGGAACTTCCCAGGATCTATTCTACTCCGGGAACTATTTTGTAATCATAAGCCCTCCTTTTGGCTTCACCCACTTGACTATACATGTAAGGAGACAGTACTGTTGAGTATACTGTTTACTTGGCCTTTTTTTTTAAAAGAAGCATTTTTTCTCTCTCTCTGTTTGCTACATAGTTTATTCTTTCAACCTTTATCTCTTGGCAACCAGGGTTCCTTAAGCTGCTCTGGCAGGGACTGGATGGAGTTACTGGGGACCATGGAGAACTGGGACACTCCTGGTTCACACTTGTTTTCTAAGGACAATAGAATTCTTGTTGTCCGTGTGGATGGAACTTCAAGTAAGTCAATGAACTCAAACATCAGAGGAAAAGGGAAGAATATCACACATACAGTAAATGTTTTGACTTGTTACTCAAAATATACAGCCATTAGTAGCCTTTGATGCTCTCAGTAAAAATGCTGTCATTGGGGTGGGTCTGCTATTAGATGTTCTTCTGTCCCCTGTGCATAGACCATTCCTATCCCAGCAGTGTCACACCCTGTTGACAAAGTCAGATTTCTCCCATTTTCTTTAAAATCCACTAGGGACTGAAAGGTACTTTGGAAGCAATCTCAATATGGTTGCCTGGTATTATTTTTCCATCTTTTTTATTAATTTATTTTTTACATTACAATCCCAGTTCCCCATCTTGCCTCTCCTCCAGCTCCCTTTACTTCTCCCCTGCCACCCCACCTCCCATCTGCTCCTTGGAGAGGGTAAGGCCTCCCATAGGAAGTCTACTAAGTCTGTCCCATCATCTTGCTGAGGAAGGACCAAGGCACCTCTCTACCCCCCCCCCCCCCCCCCCCCCCCCCCCCCCCCCCCCCCCCCCCCCCGCCCCTACCCTTGTGTTTAGGCTGGGCATGGTATCTCTCCATATAGAATGGGATTTAAGTGAATTTGTGCATTAGAGTTAGATTTTGGACCTACTACCAGTGGCCTCATATATTGTCCCAGCTGCACCATTGTCACCTATATCAAGGGAGTCTACTTAGGTCTTACACAGATTCTCCATTTGTCAGACTGGAGTCAGTGATCTCTCACTAGCTTGGGTCAGCTGATTCTGTGGGTTTCCTCATCATGGTCTTGACTCTTTTGTTCATATTATCACTCTTTCCTTACTTAGACTGTACTCCAGGAGCTTTTCAGTGTTATTTTTATGATTTT